TTGTGTTTTCACTCACTCTTTCAAACAGATGCAAGTAAAACACAGCAGAAAATAAATAAAGTCAAAGACTCAGCGGTCCTTTTGCTCTATTTTCACCTGTAAAGCAGGAGCAGGGTAGGCGGAGGGTTACCCTGGTGCAGGTGTGCTGCGGTCAGTTGAAGAATCCGCGCGAGTGTCTCTGTGAGTTTCCCATCACGTCGTAGCTACTCGGTGCTTGCTCGGAAGTTTAGGGGTTTTTTTTCGCTGTAAAAAGAAGTTTTCTTCCCACGCACGATGGACGCTAATGTTTTTGTCACTTTTTATGGAATCAAACTCAAAGTAAGGTCAGTACTTCCACACTTTAAACGCTGCACGCTCATACTCTCTCCCGCACTCGATATATTATCCATTGTTGATCTGCACACAGCTGCTGTCACCAACGTCGCACTTGCTTACGTCACTGTCATGAGACATTCTCGCAAAAAAAATCACGGTTTTAGTAACGCAGTAACGCAGCGTTCCTACGGGAAAGTAACGGTAATCTAATTACCGATTTTGCAATAGTAATCCCTTACTTTACTCGTTACTTGAAAAAAGTAATCAGATTACAGTAACGCGTTACAAGTAACGCGTTACTGCCCATCTCTGGTGCCAGGTTAAATGTTTCTAAACCGTGAGTGTGGGTGTGAGTGCACGATGGACTGGTGACCTGTCCGGGGTGTGACAGCTGGGAAAGGCTCCAGCTCTCTCTATGATCGAAAGGTGGATAAGCGGTTAAAGAAACAGAGCGATGCATTATATCCACTGCATGTGTTTTACAACGAAGTGAAGAAAATACAAAGAAACAGGATGTGAGCCCTGTTTCAAAGTGTGCACCATCTTTGATATATTTATCTTCCTGTATAGAAAAACATCCGAGGAAGCATCGATCCACCTCTCCGTCTTTGAATGGAAAGATTTTTAGGCGTTTTCATAAACATTAAAAAAAAACTTTTTCTTTTTTATTGCTCAGACATCGTGTTTTTACAGAGTCCGCTTTTTGGCACATTTAAGGGCCACATATTCTTGTAATGAACTTTCATCACTAACCATGATGTGGCCTCATGTGGACAGCCATGAGAGGAAGTTTGTGTGCCAGCAAGCGGTAAATAATAATGCAGTAAAACTCAGCTGTATTGCTATAAAATGTCTTCATCGAATGGTGCTTTCAAACGGTTTATGGGTGTAACTGTCGCCAGTACGAAAACATCAAGACCATAAAACAATGTTTCTGTCTTTCTTTCTTAACTACATGACTACTGCATTTATATTAAATCCATTTGTATAAGCTTTATTATTGTTGTCACAATAAATACATAAATTAATAAATACGTAAATAAATAAATAATGTTTTGAGTTCAAATCACCCTACTGTATGTCTGTGAAGGTTCTCAGTCATCCAGGTCATCGTAGTCAAAGGAGCTTGCAAACTCCTTTCACCCTACTGTAGTTGAGCCTGCAGCGCCCCCTGGTGTGGAGGCATTTTAATGCAGTGCAGAAAGGTCGGAAGTGCTACTGTAGCTTTGTTATTATCAATAAAAATATAAAATATAATCCAAACTTCCTCTATTTCCTTTTTTCTGTGCATGAACATCAGGAATCGGAGCCATGGTTTAACTTTAAAAATATTTATTCACTGTCCTCTGATGTCATTTAAATGAACGCATTTAATATTTGTATTTTACTACATGTGTCTGCCTCAGCTGTTGCTCTGTGAGGTTTATACACAAAGTTATTGCGCATTAGAGATGTGTAAAGATATGGATCTTTAGCTTTAGCTGCTGCTGAACAACCCACACACATAAAAAGATCATTTGAAAATCTATCTGAAAATATTTGCTGCCAAAAACAATCATGTTTGAGGTCAGACTCGTGGGGAAAACACTTCTCCACATTTAATACAGTCCACATTTGCCAGTTTGGGACATATTGCTTCAGGCTAGAATTTTTAATTAGCTGTCAACAAAAACAATAAACACACCTGCAGGATATTGTTTTAATCTTCTTCTTCTTTTTTTCTGAAGTGATCCCAAGAGCAGCAGTTTTCTCCTGTGAAGCTACAGAACAAATCTTCTGCTGCAGATGAATGAGTCTAATTATGGCTAAAAGCAAGAAGAATATCACACGTGAGCAGGATAATGTGCCATAATTACCCAAGCAGGATAACAGCTCACAGCAGCCTGTTGGGCTGAATGTGGGGCTGAAGGTGTTTTTCTCTGGAATAATCAGCTCCTTCACTCCATGCATGATGCATGATGAGTGCAAAACAGTGTTTTAGTGCCTGAGCTGCACACTGTTGCATACAGTTTATTATTTTCCTGCACATTATTATGGCCTCCAAATGTGATTAAGAGGAAATCTGAAGTAAGACTGTAGCTAAACATCAGTTTGATTATTTCCTAAACTATAAATTCAGTCAAAGATTTCTGAAATGACAGATTTCTTGAATAAACGTGAGTGCAAGCCAAACACTAAATAGCGCTAAACACTTGTATAAAACCAAATATCATATTGTTTTTATTTATTACTCTTATTATTTCACACCCTTCAGCCTCTCCAGCCACAAGACATAGCCAAGTCCACACCCACCCACACCCCACTTTCTGTGAAAAAGATGTGAGGCAACTCTTCAGGAGACAGAAGATCATGATGTTACCAGGCTGTGCTGATCAGCTGCCTCCCATCTTCACACTGATCTTCGACAGATCCCTGGAGCTGTGTGAAGTCCCCTGCTGTTTCAAACGATCCACAATTATCTCAGTCCCCAAGGAACCCTCTATCACTGGGTTAATGACTACAGGCCTGTGCCCCTCACGTCTGTAGTCATGAAATCCTTTGAGAGATTGATGTTGACCTACCTGCAAGACATCACATGTCCCCTGCTCCACTCCTTTAGTTTACCTACTGGTCAAATAGTTCAGTGGATGATGGTGTCAACATAGAGTGCACCTCAACACTGCAACACCTCGACATGTCCTGGAGTCCTCCGCTCCAAACTCACTCGGCTCATTGTCCCAGCCTCCGTCTGTCAGTGGATCACAAACTTTCTGAATGACAGGAAGCAGCAGGTGAGACTGGGGAGAATCACATTTCAGGACTGTGTCCTCCCTCCTCGTCTCTTCTATTCAGTTTAATTCGTTGTTATTTCTATAGCAACAAATCACAACAAGAGTTGCCTTTAAAATGCTTTATATTGTAAAGGCCCTACAATAATACAAAGAAAACCGAGAAAACCCCAACAATCATATGACCCCCTACGAGCAATCGCTTTGGTGATAGTGGGAAGGAAAAAATCACTTTTAACAGGAAGAAACCTGGAGCAGGACCAGGCTCAGGGAGGGGCGGGGCCATCTGCTGCGACCAGTTGGGGTGAGAGAAGGAAGACAGGACAAAAGACATGCTGTGGAAGAGAGACAGAGATTAATAACAAGTATGATTCACTGCAGAGAGGTCTGTTAACACATAGCAAGAAAGGTGACTGAAGGAGAAACACCCAGTGCATCATGGGAATCTCCCAGCAGCATGAGGAAGGATTCCCTTAGTTACGCTGCAATAAGTCTTCTCCCTCTACACAAATGATGACACCTTAGAAGACCCATCTGTCAAAATTGTTAAGTTTCCAGATAGCAACCTGAAGCGGCCACCAGTATGGACACTATCATCAAAAGGAGAGGATTCACTTCCTGCTGCAGCTCAGGAGATGTTGATCCAGTTCTACTCTGCAATAATCCAGTCTGTTCTCTGCTCATCCATCGGCGTACGGTTTGGATCAGCCAGTAAACAGAAAAAGAGCAGACAACAACAGACAGTCAGGACTGCAGAAGAACCATTGCTCCCGACTTACCCTCGATTCACAATTTGTACAAAGCCAGAGCAAAGAAACTAGCAGACAACATCACTGCAGACCCATCACAACCTGGAAACAACCTGTTCCAGCTCTTCCCTCCGGTAGGCGCTACAGAGCACTGTACACCAAAACAAGCAGACATCTGTGCAGTTTCTTTCCACAGGACATCTCTCTGACGAACACTTAAATCAGTCACACAGTGTCTGAACTTAAAAACTTCCACTATATCTACTGTCCATTATAGAAACATAAATTATTTTAGACATATTTTATATGAAAAAATCTAAAGTTAGTCAGACGTTGGTGTCTTCACTTTTTCCATTTAATAAAGTTTTTGTTCAGTATTTAATGAGTTTGAATTACTGTTATTTATTTATGGCTATTTCCTCGTGTGTTCCTTGGTCGACTGTTTAGATTAAAATGTTTCCCTCTTTGGGCTGTACACATCTGAACTTATATTTAAAATCCAAAATGAAAACATCATAAAAACGATGTTTTACGCTTGAATGTACATATAGTTGAGTCATAAATAGGCTGCACACAAAATAATGTCTTGCTCATGTTGTAAGTAAAGCAGGAAAAAGTCGAATATATTATTATATATTATCAGTGCATATTATTATTGCTATTACTACGACATAATAGTAATGATATAATATGAAATATAAAAATAAATGTGCATGACTGTTGACAGATACATAGCCTACAGATACAGTCTACTGGTAACACAGCTATGCTATTTATAAATATCAGCCAACAACAGCACTTTTGAACATTTCAAAATCAGTGTCGCTTAAAATTATTTTCTTATTTTCTAGGCAACATTTTTTTTATTGGCTTCGTATGTGTATATTTCGTATTCTATAGATTAAAGGGTTAAATATAAATGAAATGAATTCTTTTATTTTTTGCTATTACTGTAATTCCGTATTAACGATAGTAACCCTCCCCAACTGTCGTCCTTTGTCAGGGAGCGACGGTGTCTATCTTGACCGAACCCAGTTTCTCTTTGAGCAATATTGTCGTCTCGCGAGAACTTCGATGTCACGTGGATTATGGCTGAAGATCGCGGATATTAGAAGGTACTTTTCTGCTTTTATTTACTTTGTTGTGGCGTAAAATCGCGCATTTACGCAATTTGTTTATTACAGCTCGAGACGTATGTGCATTAGCTGTCGCTAAAATAAGCATGTGCAGCTTTTTGTGGCCGCTTACGTCGGCACCGCCGGTACAAACCTTCGAAATAAGAGCACAATGTTTTGCGCGCTTTTTACCACTACGAAAACAGTTAGCTTCTGCTTCGTGAATGATCCGCTGTGGTTAAACACCCGTGGGCCTTGCTCTCCTGTTTGGAGGCTTCTACTACACCCAAAGTGCAGATAAGTCTGCGAAGAGACCTAAACGGCGAGCAGGAGTAAATTGAACCCAACGGCGACACCGCTGTTAGCCTTAGCCACAGCCCGAGGCCTGCTCAGGAAGCGGGCGGGAGCTTTTATTTTCCAAAACTGCTTCTTCATCTTACCTGCCAAGGCTGTAGATTCAGATCATTATACCTGTTCGCAAGCTTTTAATATTTATGTTAGACGTCCACAAGTCCGCGTTTGGATTTTGAGCTGTTAATTAGACAATTAATATGCACCGCGGTTCGTTCTCACACTCTTTGTCATTAACAGGAGAGAAATCTACAAACCGAGAGCAAAGAGGAGGCGAAGCTGTGACTCTTCAGCAGCTCTGACACACTACTCACAGTAAGTTTTCACTCTGTTATCAAGTTTTAGAAATCCACGAGAAATCTGTGTTTTTATGTGCATTGACGTTTTTTGTGATATGATTTAAATTTTGTGCAATTATTAAAAATATTAGAAACATTACACTGGATTTCCAGCAGGTGAGTCATTAATATAAACCTGCAGAGAAGGTTTATTACGTTTATGGGGTGTTTGTGGCTCTTTGTGGTGTCTTTAGTCGTTTTAGAGTAATTCAAGGCCTCACACAGGGAGATATTAAATTAAAGCTTATTTATAAAAGTGCTTTTCACAGACAAGCGGTCACAAAATACTGTACACAAAAAAACTAGGAATAAATACATTGCTATATAATTGAAATTTAACATTAAAATGAATCAAAGTCTACTGGGAGCTTCTGTAAAGAGTATAAAATAGAAAGAACTTGCTTAATAGAACTCGTTAATTGTCTGATCATCGGTTTTTGTTTTTTTATTTAATTATTCATTTTTGTTGTTGTTGTATAGCTCAGATTTATCTAAGCCAGTAAACAGGACATTACTGTAATCTAAAAAACACTGATTAATTTTCTCCAGTTCAGCCAAGGAGACCGCTTTTTTGTTACAATGTAGACATGTTCTTTATATAAAAGAAACTCTCAGGTAGAATTTGGTTAGTCTGATTTATCTCAAGAACAGTGCTGATTATTACTGATCAGAGGAGCTAGTGTGTAAAATTGTTGAAATAAATCTTGTGGTGTCAAAGTCACACCTGTGGCTCTGGTAGCAGATGTCTGTCATATGAAGCTGGATTCAGTTAGTGAGGTAACCTCAGGTTTATCTGCAATCCATCAGTTTTCAAATCAAATCACTTTTATTGTCACATCACATGTGCAGGTACACTGGTACAGTACATGTGAGTGAAATTCTTGTGCGAGCTTCACAAGCAACAGAGGTGTGCAAAGTACAATAACATAAGAACAAGCAAAATATAAGAATGGCTAAATCTGAGAGTTATATGAATAAATGTATGTACAATACAAGAGTGTATGCATATTACTGAATGTGAATACTACGTGTGTGTGTGTGTGTGTGTGTGCGTGTGTGCGTGTGTGCGCGTATGTGTGTGTGTGTGTGTGTGTATGTATGTATGTATGTATGTATGTGTATATATATATATATATATATATATATATATATATATATATATATATATTTATTTATTTATTTATTACAAAGTAAATAGAGTAAATAATAAAATAAAGGTTGGTAGTTGACATGTGCAAAACAGTGGCATTACTGTACAGTATGGCGTGCATAATGTTAAAGTTCCAGTAGTGAAGCTGAGGTGTCTATGACGTGTTCAGCAGTCTGATGGCCTGATGGAAGAAGCTGTCTCTCAGTCTGCTGGTACGGGACCGGATGCTGCAGAACCTCCTTCCTGATGGAAGCAGTCTGAACAGTTTATGGCTGGGGTGACTGGAGTCCTTGATGATCCTCCCCGCTTTCCTCAGGCACCGCTTCCTGTAGATGTCTTGGAGGGAGGGAAGCTCACCTCCAATTATCCGTTCAGAGCACCGCACTACTCGCTGGAGAGCTTTGCGTTGTAGGTGGTGCTGTTGTCATACCAGGTGGTGATGCATCCAGTGAGGATGCTCTCAATGGCACAGTGATAGAAGGTCCTGAGGATGCGGGGGCTCATGCCGAATCTTTTCAGTCTCCTGAGAAAGAAGAGGCGCTGCTGCGCCTTCTTCACTGTTTTGTTTGTGTGTACTGACCACGTAAGATCCTCAGCCAGATGTACTCCAAGGAAGCGGAAGCTGCTCACTCTCTCCACAGCAGCGCCGTTGATGGTGATGGGGGTGTGTACTTCTCTGCACCTCCGGAAGTCCACTATCAACTCCTTTGTCTTTGCGACGTTGAGGGTGAGATGGTTGTCTTGACACCAGTGGGTCAGGGCGCTGACCTCCTCCCTGTAAGCCGTCTCATCACCGTTGGTGATAAGACCCACCACTGTAGTGTCGTCCGCAAACTTCACAATGATGTTGGAGCTGTTAGTGGCTGTGCAGTCGTAGGTGTAGAGTGAGTACAGGAGAGGGCTCAGTACACACCCCTGTGGAGCACCAGTGTTCAGTGTGACGGGGGATGAGGTGATGCTGCCCAGTCTGACCACTTGGCGTCTGTCAGACAGGAAGCTAAGGATCCAGCTGCAGAGGGAGCTGCTCAGTCCTAGATCCTGCAGTTTCCTGTCCAGCTTCGAGGGAACGATGGTATTGAATGCTGAGCTGTAATCTACAAACAGCATTCTCACATACGTGTCTCTCTTCTCCAGGTGTGACAGGGCAGTATGTAGTGTGGGCTATGGCATCATCAGTGGACCTGTTGTGGCGGTATGCGAACTGTAGAGGGTCCAGTGAGTCGGGTAGCGCAGAGCAAACGAAGTCCCTGACCAGCTTCTCGAAGCATTTGCTCACGATGGGGGTCAGGGCTACAGGTCGGCAGTCATTTAATGAGGAGATGGTGGAGGATTTGGGTACAGGGACGATGGTGGCCACTTTGAAGCAGGCTGGGACTACAGACAGAGAGAGGGAAAGGTTGAAGATGTGTGTGAACACTCCAGCCAGCTGAGCCGCGCATGACCTGAGGACGCGGCCGGGAATCCCGTCCGGACCAGTAGCTTTGCGTGCGTTCACCTTCCTGAAGCACTTCCGCACATCCTCCTCAAACACAGTGTGCGCACTGACGTCATCCGCGGTGCGCACACTGTCCGGTCTCATGGTGTTCGCTGTGTCGAATCTAGCGTAGAATACGCTGGTGTCATCAGTGCTGGAAAAACCTATGTCCTCTGGAGTAGAAGGATCTGATGTTTTTGAAGACTGAAAGCTTTTTTCTTTCCCCAGTGAGCATAAATGTGATATTATTAGAAGTGTGTGTGTGGGGCGGGGGGGGATTCTAGCTTTTTTTTTTTCCTGTATGTTACGAATGGATGAGCTAATATAACATCTAGCCTTACTGAAGTCGTCCCTTGATGTTCTCAGGTGTATGAGAATAATTCAAGGCCTCAAACAGGTAGTAAATACTATTCAGTCAGTCTCTAAGGCAGGGGTAGGCAACGCCAGGCCTCGAGTGCCGGTGTCCTGCAGGTTTTAGATCTCACCCTGTGTCAACACACCTGAATCAAATGATTAGTTCATTACCAGGCCTCTGGAGAACTTAAAGACATGTTGAGGAGGTAATTTAGCCGTTTGAATCAGCTGTGTTTGATCAAGAACACATCTGAAACCTGCAGGACACCGGCCCTCGAGGCCTGGAGTTGCCCACCCCTGCTCTAAGGTCTAATAATTCAAACAACATTGATTGCATTTACAAGCAACAGCTTTTTCCCCACTTTGGCCTGTTTGATGGGTATTTAAGACACAGAAGCCACACCCACCGTACCAAGGCTCGCTTCATGTAAAGCTATAAAATAATTGGGCTTTTCATGGTTGACTCCACAAGTTTAGTCCATTTTGAGTGTTTATAATAATTTAGTAAAAATGCCTCGATGACCAAAGTTAGTTTTTGAAAAAATCTGTTATATTATATAAAAACAGGTTATTTTCCTTGGACTCGGTTAAAGCTATTTTTGGTGGACTGTGTGGGAAAAAACTCTGGATAAAAGTGTTGTAGCTGCAGTAATTTGTTTACATCGCTCCTGGAGCAGGAGAAACGTCTCCCTTCATGCAAAGTTGTATTTTCCCGTTGCTAATGCGTTAGTGATGAGGATGCCCTCGCCTGTTTTCCAGCAGCAGTGATGGCGCATGTCTTCAACCATGGGAAGCTGCTCCTGCAGCGCCTGCACCAGCAGCGGGAGATGGACTTTCTGTGTGACATCACCATAATGGTGAAGGACGTGGAGTTCAGGGCTCACCGTAACATCCTCGCTGCGTTCAGTGAGTATTTCTCCTCCCATGCTGAAAAGGGGGAAGAGATCACGACTTTGGACCCCGACAAGGTCAGCCGGTACTCGCTGGAGAAGCTCCTGGAGTTCGTCTACACGGGACACATGAACCTCAGCAGGTAAGCGTGAGGGTTTAGAAGCCAGCATCAGCCAAAACACGGATAGCATTTACGCAGGGTCATCCTGTACAGTTCTACATCTGTATACCCAACAACCTGAGTGTACAACATATGAACAGAATGACAGCAAAGTAGACTTGGATGTGATGAAGCCAACGTCAGATACATACACGTTATGGAAAGTAAATGTTAGTGAGACATCTTTGCTTTGTGCCTCTACGTGATTTACTGATGGCTAAAATGTGCTTATTATTAGTTGTTGTTGTGGTTCACATTAGCTCATTAAGCTTTTGTTTTTTTTAATTAAGAAAGGTAGCTAAATAGTTTTTCAGACAGTACAGGGTTAAAGTTGGCACACAAGATACAGTTAGCCTGCTAGCTGCGTGAATAAGTTCTTGGTTGTTTTGTGGCGTTAAAGGCTTCTTCATCGCTGCAAATCAAGATGGCGGCTTCGTAGTATGGTGGCTTACCTGTTCGCCAACAAGCCAAAGATCTCAGGAGGACACAAAAAACTATTTATGAAAGGTCTGCAAAATCAAACGTGTGGTGCTACACGCTGTGGAGATCTCTTTTGAAACAAGGACTGAAAGTAGCTTCTTCAAGACAGGATGTTGCTTTGTTAGCTAGGAGAGTTTTGCTAAGTGAGACGTTTGCAGTTTGGTCATTTGAGCAGAGATCTTAGTTTGGTTAATGTTGTCTGCTAATGTTGACTGTAGTTTTTTCCTGCAGTCACTCCTTTTGACCATATGTGTTAGCTAACGTTAGCTCACCTGCTTGTACAGGCAGACTGCTTGATTAAGCGCAGCACTGAGTTTGAGTTTTGCCTTGAGCCAGTTGTTTGATGATGTTGGTGATAAGTGGACTCCAGTGAGGGGCATCCGCACAGGAAGCGATCCGTTCGTCATCAGTTTGTTGCTGTTTCAGGCTCTCGTTGCTGAGTAGCACTCTGCTGCATTATCGCCTTGTCCCATGTCAGGTGTCCGTACTCACTCTCATCAGTTATTGTTTCAACCAGTTGCCTCTAAATTGACCAATTTTTCACTCCAGACTGACTTTTTGTGGTCACTGGTTGCCATGGCACTGTTAGATACTTGTTCTGCGGACGCCCCTTTAAGGTATTCATACCTGACGTTTGGCTAGCTCTGTTGGGTGGTGCTGTTTCCATAACAACAACAAGCAATAACTTACAAGGCGAGTGTTTTAGGTTTATGTACAACGGGGGGACAACTCCAGGCCTGGAGGGCCGGTGTCCTGCAGGTTTTAGACACACAGCTGATTTAAATGACCTCCTCAACATGTCTTAAGGTTCTTTAGAGCTCTGATAATGAACTAATCATTTGACTCAGGGGTGTTGACCCTGAGTGAGATCTAAAACCTGCAGGACACCGGCCCTTGAGGCCTGGAGTTGCCCACCGATTATTCTCTGGAGTGATCAACTTCTCCAACATTTTAGTGACATACTGCACAAGCAGCCACTTTAGTTTCTAAGGATATGTTTTTAGCGTGATTTCATTGGTTAATGCTGCAGTCAGTCCACATGATGTTAGATTATGAAAAGGTCATAGGCGTGGGACACTTGTGAACTGAATTTTGAGTTGGTACTTTGAGTAAAATGTTTTTCTTTCTGGTTCCAGCACCCGACAAGCGGCCGTACGGCGAGCTGCCATCTTCTTAGGAATGGCCGAGGCCACGAAATATCTGGAGGAGTTCCCTCACTGGTCTGAGCTCGGCGAAACGTCACAGTCGGAGGCAGATAAAGAGACGGGTCTCTCGCCTCCCAGCCCCGCCTCCCCAAGCAGCCCCACCTCCCCAGTCCCACTATCCATAGTCTCTGTTGCGGGGGAATGGCACGAGGAAGGTAAGGGCAGCAGAGAGCAGGATGATGAGGGCAGAGATATGTTTGTGGAAGACGATGAAGAGTACACCCCAAGCACACCAAGGAGCACCGGGAGAGTAGGGGGCAGGAAGAGAGGTAGAAAGCCTAAAAGTTTTGGCGACGAGCAGATGGAGGCGAGCAGCTCGGCTGACGGCATGCCCAAAATCTACAGCTACAGAGGGAGAGGACGAGGGAGAGGCAGGGGCAGGGGCAGGGGGAGAGGAAGAGGAAGAGGAAGAGGGAGCTTAAAAAGTCAAGAACTCTATTTGGATGACTCTGATACGAGCGTGAAGGACTTTGGAGACACCTCAGCAGACTGGAGCCCCTCACAGGGGGAAGAAGATGAGGAGGAGCCTGGGATGAAGAGGCCGAGGCTGAGCACCGGAGAGGGGAGGAGAGGGCGAGGCCGCGGGAGAGGGAGAGGCCGCGGGAGAGGCAGGGGCCGAAACAGGGGACAGACCGATGAGGAGGAGGAGGAGGAGGAGGAGGCGGGGGATGACAGCATTGGCGGAGGCACAGAGGAGGAGGAGGCGGGGGAGGGAGTGGAAGAGGGCGAGATCGGGGAGATGGATGCGCTGGCTCTGGGCGAGATGTCGCTGTCGTGCACAGAGTGCAACAAACTGTTTAAAGACGTGAGCAGCCTGCGCCGCCACGAGAAGATCCACAAGGGGCTGAAGCCGTTCGCCTGCATCTTCTGCTCCAAAACCTTCAGGCAGGCCACGCAGCTGAAAACACACCTGCGCATACACACAGGTGAGCTCAGCACTGAGTGTCACGTGTTTTTGTTACTGGGTTTGTGAAGATGTGAGGCTGCTACACACCTTTTCATTTATAATTAAGTGTGTAAAGACAGGAAAATCCACCTGCAAGGTTCTTAGTCAGAATCAAACTTCGGTTACTTTGATTTGAATCTCATTAACTTTAACCCCTAATCAGCTAAAGGTTTTTTGTTTTGGTTTTGTTTGTTTCTTTGCAAAATAAAACAAAACCTCAGTCACTGCTTTCAGATACCATTAAAAGAAAAAACTTTTGAACTGTTCAGGCCTTTACAGTCGAAACATCTCCTGATGAGTTTCTGGGCTCAGATGCTACTTTGTAGTCTTACTTCCAACAGAGTCATGTTTATTGTTTTAAAAACAGGACTTCTTCCATCATTTATATACAGTCTGTAACCCTACTGCATTGTTTCTAATCAATTCTCTGTAATTTCCTGTCACCTGACTTCGAGTGTGGATGCCTGTGTGCTGGTTTTATTCATCATTTCAGTGAAAACTTTGGTTGAAATCAGCTTGATAAACAGAAGAAAAGTTTCTTACACGTATTAAACGTGTCAAACTGGCGCTCCGGTGCTTTTCTGTGACATTTAAATGCGTAAGACATTTGCACATCCTCTGCAGCAGAATCCTCCCTCTGTGTCACAGAGCTGTCCCATACTTTCTGCTTCCTGAGCTGCAAAAACAAGCTCCGGAAGCAGGAAGACAAACATAGGATGTTGAGCACAAGCATGAGTTTAAGTTTGGAACAGAAATGCATCGTATCACTCAGCAAACCTTTGAGTTAAAATGAAAGTATGTGCAGCGTGGATGTGAAGACCGGTGTCTGTCACCAGATAAGTGGAAAACCTTTTAACCCATCAGCTGGCAGTGATAATGTAACACACGTATAACAAGCGTCCTCCTTGTTTCTCTGTTGCAGGCGAGAAGCCGTTCAATTGTGCCGATTGTGACAAGTGTTTCGCTCAGAAGTGCCAGCTGGTCGCTCACCGCCGAATGCACCACGGCGAGGAGAAGCCGTACACCTGTGAGCGCTGCGGCTTCAAGTTTGCTACCTCGTCCAATTATAAAATACACATCAGGTACGTCAGTGTGGAAGGAGCTGAGGCCAGGAGGGCCAAGAGCTTGCGTATCTGCATGCAACCCACCTTTTATTACATATGACTGACGTAACGATTCAGCTGCTGCTCTGCTTCCACAGAGGAGCTAGTTAAAGATCTTTATTTTGCTCTCGCACACACGAGGGTGTTTACGAGTGGCAGAACTAATAACATTAACCTATTGTAGGTTAAACTACCCAGTAGTTTCTATAGTAACAGTTCTGCTGGTCTGAGGGCCACTGAAGAAAAATGTGGTTGCTGGGTGGCACACGTGTGTAGGTGGTTATTTAATAATAATAATGGATTGGATTTATATAGCGCTTTTCTAGGCACCCAAAGCGCTTTACAATACCACTATTCATTCACTCTCACATTCACACACTGGTGGAGGCAGCTACAGTTGTAGCCACAGCTGCCCTGGGGCAGACTGACAGAAGCGAGGCTGCCATATCGCGCCATCGGCCCCTCTGGCCAACACCAGTAGGCAAGTAGGGTAAAGTGTCTTGCCCAAGGACACAACGACCAGGACAGAGAGCCCAGGGATTGAACCGGCGACCTTCCGGTTACAGATGCGATTCTCAATCCCCTGAGCCACGGTCGCTGTGCTTCTATTTGCTTCTCACCTGTGACTTTTTTAAGCACTTGTTGTTTTGAGTTGTTGTTCTATAAATAAAGTTAAATTTTAACACGTTTCCCACAGACTGCACAGCGGGGAGAAACCGTACGTCTGTGACATCTGCGGCCAGGCGTTCGCTCAGTCCAGCACGCTGACGTACCACAAGCGACGACACACTGGGGAGAAACCGTACCAGTGCGACCTGTGTGGCATGTCCTTCTCTGTGTCTTCCTCTCTCATTGCCCACACACGTAAACACACTGGTGAGAGATGTGCAAATGAAAGGATGCGCTGCTCTGGTTTCCTGCCGCACTGGGCAAATAGACTTTACAGGCATTTTTCTGTATTTCTGTGCGTTTCAGGCGAGACTCCGTACAAATGTTCGCAGCCTAAATGCGACGCCAAATTTGTCACATCATCTGAACTGAAGAAACACATGCGGCGACTTCACCCAGGTGAGTTTAAAGCTTTGTTTGTTACGCCAAACATTTAAAGAGTGGTTAGATGGGACTGAAAGTCAGCAGTATCACACCAGGATCCTACTGCTAACTGCGGCTGTCTTTCAGGAGAGCTCATAACCTAAAATGTGCTTTATTGACATAATGAAACTATTTTAAAAATGTGCCTCAAACGGGTGTGGAAGAGATAATGAAGTGAGTTATAAAGAGCAAGCTCTCAGCTCCACACAGTTTCTGACCAATCAGGGTATAAACAGAGAGCCAGAAACCGATTGGCTGCAGTATTTAAATGTGTTCTCGTGGTGTTTGCAGAGGGGAACAGCGGCGTGCAGTGCCTGCTCTGTGGAAACAGATTTGCCAGCGTGAAGAACATGATCAAACACCAGGACAAAGCTCACGCCGACGAAGTGCGGCAACACAAGGAGAGAGCCCGAGCCGGTGAGCTGTCAGCCTGTTTATTAAAATCCACCGTGTCTTAAAGTGCTGTTAAAGTTTAATTGAATAAGAACCTGAAAGTGTTTTGGGACGTGTTGATCTTTTTGCAGCTTCAGTCAGAAAAACCACCCCTCAGTGTCACTGCATGATTCAGCCCTGAGGCTGGAAGCCCATCTCTGTGTTTACATGTGCATCAGTATCCTGGTTCACATTAGCTTTTTGAAGTTTCCATGGCCTGTGCAATAAAGCAGGATGCTGCAGCATGTAAGCATCCCATTGTCTGCAGTGTGCAGGCTACCTGCAGAGGCACCACTTAGACCAGCAGCAGAAACTTCCTCTCTGGCAACAGAGGAAGTGCCTAATAGAGGAAGTGAATTCAGTGTCTTTTTTGGGGGGCGGGGGTTGCTGACCAAGTCAACACATTAAAGGCGCCAGTTTCTGGAGATTTTACATCTCTGTGCCTGTACGCTTCAGATATGTGGGGTTATTCTCCATCTTTAAACCAACGTGGCAGACTTCAGTATGTAGAGTCAGTGGAGAGTTTGAGGTCGAGCTGTGATCCCAGTGAGAATGGAATAGTATTATTGATTGATTGATTGATTTTATTTTTTTTTTTAAGTGGGTGTTCCAGATTTATTAACTCAAAGCCCAGTCCACTGGTGATGGCAAAGTAAAACAGACACACCAGAGCACAAGCTCAAAGTCAAACAGTGTTGTGAGCCAGGACTATAAATCAGGCTTAACATGGGAGTGTTGGATCTGCCTTTAACAAGTGTGCAGTGCTGCTGCTGCCTTAAAGGCACAACAGCAAAGCTCCCAATTCTGCTTGGGGGCCTTTTAAAGAACAGGCAGTAAAACTGTGTTGTTTCCATGTTGTCTTCTGGCTGTCTGACTGGGTTTTGTGTGTTTGAGCAGTGGTCCTGCTGTCCACCAGCCATCCCGTGGCCTTCGTCCAGAGCAAGCTCTCCCAGGAGAACAAAGGTTTGGGCTCCATCCCCGAGGGCGAGCCGGCCAACCCTGAACCGGCCACTCCCAACCCCAAAGCCACCGACCCCGCCGCGGCTGCCTCCGACGTCGCCACCACTGACTCTGCTGCAACCACCGCCAGCGTGACCGCTGACAGCATCACGGACGCCGCCGCCATCATCCAGGACTTCAAGGCGGAGCCCACGCACACCCCTCTCACCACCACAGAGCAGGTGACCTTCGACGCCGATCAGGAGCAGACCATCAACTCGGACACGCTGCACGCGCTGGTGGAGCAGCTGCGGCCGCCGCCTTCGCCCGCACAGACGCTGGAGCAGATTGTCATCATCAAGACGGTGGACAACATGGACAACATGCCCCCCCAGCAGTGAGGCCTGAGTAACACTGATCAGAACTAAACTTCAGTTTTAAACAGTCACTCGCTGATTGGCATAAAGTCAGTGCTCATGTTCAGGATAAAAAAATCAACATTTGTAAAGATAATCTACAATACAAAGACAATTTGGTCCAACTCGGGCTTTATTTTCATAGTTTTGACCATCATTTCAACCTGTGGTACAAACAGGAAATGCGAGCAGTCGAGTTAGAAACTAACATCAAGGTTAGACAAAATATTTTGGACGACGGCATTATGTGATTATTATTTGTCCAAAAAAGTCTCAAGCAGAATCCTCAGAAGTCTTTTTTTGTCTTCCATACTTCCCAAAACCCAAAGACTTTCAGCTCTCTGTGAGTTAAAATGGAGAAAAGCACCAAGTTCTGCATTTCAGAGGCTGAAACTAGAAACATGTGATGTGGTTTCCACAATTTGTACGTGGAAAAACCAGAATAATGATTCGCCGGCGTGCACACATTTAATATTTTGCAATAATAAAAAAACTTTCCAGTTTTTTTTGTTTTTTTTTTAAATTGTGACGTATGAGAAACAGACGATCAGATTCACAGCTCATGGTCTGTATTTTGGTTTATTATCAAAATCACTTAGATTCTAACATATTTACAGACGAGCGTTTCCACCAAATTAACACTGATGCAAAAAGCATCAAATGAAGCTATAAACCTCCCTCCTCCTCCTCCCAAAACATAAACCCTTAAAGAAGCAGCGTGGCTTCAGTTGAGTTGGTTTACTGGTCAAAACTATAAGAATAAAACCTGACCCAGTCATCCTTTTAAAAATGCCCATATTTTTAGTAGAAGTGAAATGAAATTCATGATCCAGCAGGACGATTTACAGCTCCTCAAGGAGAACACGGGTCATATGGCAAACAAAATGCAGTTTAACCGTGTCAGTGGCCGATACTGTTGTGTGACGCCAGTCTTGAGCTTGAGGAAAAAAAGGAGTGTGATGGAGATCTGAAAGAGGCGAAAAACAGATCAGTTATTTTTCTAATGAAGATTTTTGTTTCCTTGGCAGAGAGGAGGAAAGAGCGGCAATAAAAGGCAGAATCAAATTATTATAACCTGAAGAATCCCAATAAGATTCTCTCTTTGTGTTCAGCAGTGACGTCATGATCAGCACTGATGATTTCATGCTGTTGTGCTTAAACCCGTTTCACTTCTTTGAATGACCTGCTAACTGTTCGTGTGAGTCACAGTTAAACTACATTCTTCCTGTAAAATCCACTGTTTGGGTTTACCAGATGTAACCAGTTTTCTCCCAGCATTAACCAGCTGTAGACATAAAGATAACCAGTTTGATTACTTGTGCTGTCTTTTCAATCAGCAGATGTCAGAATCAGGAGGGAAGTGAGGGGGGAAAAAGCCCAATCAGCAGATCTGTACAATTTACCGTTGTTCAGATGTCTAACGTTCTGATCCAAGTTCCTCGTTTCACTTCCCAGCTTAATGGTGAAGTGTGTGAAAAAAGAAACTGATTCTACATTTTCTTCTACTGTAGAAAGTGAAGCTTTGATTCACAGCGACTGACCTGCTTCAAACCGCTTAAAGGTGCTTTTTGTAAAAACAGCCCGTTGTGTGAAGATGATTTCCAAGTCCAAAGACGAGCGTGTTGGGTTACTGTGAGCGTGAATTGTTGTATATCTGACCAGAAGAATGATTTCAAGGGTATAAGCAGCAATGAAAAAAGGAGTTTCCTCCTGTGGATTTCTGGGATCTCCATTAGAGAGAGGGCGATTAGCTCAGGGTAGGAGGAGTCAGTTTAGGTAGTTCAGCTTCCTCCTTTAGCGAGGTGTTTAGGACTGTCTGCTGGATTAAGTGGCTGGAAGAGGAAGGTCTCCTTAGACTGCAGACCCCACAACCGTGATCTGGATACACAGACGGATGGAAATCAACATCTTTGTATTTTGTGGCAGAGATGTCAGCTAAAGCAAGGCTGAGCTGTACTCCTGTAATACCACTTTGGACCACAAGGTGGAGCAGTGAGTCAGTATAGTGTCCTCTCTGTCACACTGACCTGGCTCGTTTGGTAGCTAAAAGACTGTGTAGTGTTTTTATAAAGCGAACAGAAACTTTAGATAAGCTAGAGGTCTGATCAGATATCATTTTAAACTTACACAGAAGAAGGTGGCGCTGTTTGGGGCGGATAACTGTGCTTCCTGGTGAAACACCACCTCCTGGTGGTGAACGTTTGCATTACACTTTTTGTTTCTTTTTCTTTTTTTACAAAAAGTACCTTTAAAGTCCTCTAACCTCACACAACATTTTCTCCGATGTGGATGTCGTGGCGGCAGTTTTTTGTTTGTTTGTTTGTTTTTTCTATTACAGCTTCCTTTTGTTTGATGGAGTAACGCTTGTAAAGAATAACTCTGATACAGTACAACTCCATTTTAATAGTTAGCGTAGTGAATAGGAGCTTTGGTATCACAAGATGTAACATCTTTATTTATCAAGCAATAAATGTTCCACCCTGCAGTGACATGTGATAATGGTGGCTTCATTGATGTAATAGAGGCTCTTTTTATTCTTCTTTTTTCTTTTTTAAGTAAATCAGTTGTTTCAGTGTGAAAGAGTGAAAAATGCATTTCTATTAACATGACTGTAGCTGTTTGTTTATTTCATTTGGTTTTTTTGTTTTAGGTAAAATGTCTGCATTACTTGTACAAATTTGTGAATTACATATACAAGTTCACTACTGTATGAAAAATGTACAACAGCAGCAGGAAAATAAAGACCGACAAAAAAGGGACAATCGGACTGCTGTTTGTCAGTTTATTATGACATTTTTACTTTTTTGTTCTTTATGTCACTGCAGATGTTTTTGTTGTTTTTCTCAAGCAGAACCACCTGTTTAGAGGATGTAATTTGATTTATAATCTAATCAGTATGTTCTGAAAGCATCCACATTGCAATAAAACACAGTTACTGAGCAAAGTGTCTAGAACTCAGTGGATACTATTTAAGGAACTGCAGTTTCTTGTCATAAATAAATGTAATACTTATGATTGGTAATATATAAATAACAAGTCTCCGATCAATTAAAAGTATTTTAGGAGTGAGGAAATAACTGGAATTGCTCAAAAATACTGTCTAGCAAAATAATGCAAATAATTTAGATTATACATTATATTCAGTGATGATTTTAAAATATTTCATGTAGCTTCTTAAAAACCACAGAACACTGACTTAAAGACAAACTGAGGACAATCCTTTAAAGGATTAATTTTTTTAAAGTTTTATCGCAATATATTTCATATTTTAAAATACAAAAAATAGACTAAAGCTCAAAATTTGTTTCAATTCTTTTTGACTATTGACTTTTATTAATTTGTGTTCTTGTAAATGCATCCATTTTGTTTCCTAAAACAATTTATTTTCTTTTACATTTCACTAACTGATCATAAAGATAAAAGCTGTAATTAAGTGTTTTGCCATTGATATTTCTTCTTAAAACGTTTTCTCTTAAATTTGAATTTGTGTTCTCCTGAATTTAAAATTGAAACTAATAAATTGGAAATATTATTTTCTCTTAGAATGTTTATTTCTTGTTAATTAGCCACTTTTTCTTTTGATTTTCTATTATTTTTATGATTTTAAACTCAAAAGCTGAAGTTTTTTTCTTTTAATTCCACTCACATTCACCCATAATCTTTTTTTTTTATTACATACTGTAATTGTTTACTGAGATGCAAACCTACACGTTCATTTATTGTATTTCTTTAATACATTAACGTTTATCTTCTGTCAAAAATCCACCTTACGTTAAAATTTCCCTCCCGTTACTTGTTTGTACCTCCGCGGCTGCCGTCCCTCGTGTTGCCATAGCGACTCAAACAGTATCTAGTGATGGCGGCCCAAAGCATGTCAGAGCTTTATAAAGCTGTGCGCGCTGAGAGAAAGGTAAAAGTGAATCCGTACGTTTCGCAGTCATTGAAGAAGACGCCGTTAACGGGGTAAGCGTTTACACTTTAAACTCCAATGTAACTTTAGGGCACCAAAAATGAAGATTTTAGTGGGTTAACGTTACCGATTAATACTACTGTGGACTTAAACACATTTAAATCTCTTGGAAAATTCACTCACTCACTTGGCACTTTTTAGAATTATTTTATTACCACTTGATCCCCATGAAGTGTTTCATATTTCATATTAAGCACACCCAGTATGAAAATAACCACGTGGTTAAAAAAATGTTTGACCAGTTACCTGGTTAAATGTTGTGAAAATAATAATATATATATATATATATATATATATATATATATATATATATATATATATACATACATACAGTGTTGTAGAGTAACGGAATACATCTACCGCCGTTATGTATTTAAAATACAAAATATGAGTAACTGTATTCCGTTACAGTTACCGTTTTAAAAGGTGGTATTTAGAATACAGTGCCTTTGTTGAAATAAATGGATTACACTGAGGTACTTTCCTGTTTCATATTGTCGCAGGTCAGGACTGTTTAGGTTTTGTTTGACAGCTACGTTCTGTAGTTCCAGGCGGCAGCGTTACGGTTGCCATGGTTACAGGGTGACGCTCTCTCTCTGCGTGTTTCCTGGGTGAGAGAGCGCCTTTTTGTTGTTGTTGTGCTAAGCTAATAGGCAGAATGCAGAATGTAGCTTCATGGGCAGTGTAGTCCGTGCTGCAGGGAGAATGGACTGCCATACCCGTTATGTGTCTGTGAGCGAGGGAGGGAGAAAAAGGAAAAGTACGAGCTGTCATCGAGGAAAAACGGGAGCTGGAAGCATGTAAATATAATAATAACCACTGCTGCCAGGAAGAGTGCCTGACGAGCCCAGTTGTAAGTACGCTATTAAGACTCGACTGTACACTGTGTTCGTGTTTTCCTCCGAAACAATAAGTTCCGTTGGAGCAGTCTTTCAACGCCTCTCTCTGTCTCTGGCTAACAAAGTTCACCCACACAACAAAGTAAAGCTAGTTTTAGGCTACGAGCCCCACACGGACCCCGCCGTATTAGTCAGAGGTCCCTTTACTACGGATTCGGAGCCGCGGACCGTCAGTAACAGTAATAAATCACAGCAATAGTACATTCGCGTAGTTTTAAACAGCATATATTAAGTAATCCAAAGTATTCAGAATACGTTACTCTCATCGAGTAACGTAACGGATTACGTTACAGAATACATTTTGGGGCATGTATTCTGTAATCTGTAATGGAATACATTTTTAAAAGTAACCTTCCCAACACTGTA